GGGGGAGGGGGTCGGGGAAGGTGGGGGGGGTGGCGGGCGTGTTGGCAGGAGTGCACATCTGCAGGGGAACAAAGACAGACGCCAGTCAGAGACACAGCCCCTCACCCCCCCAGGGGCACAGAGGGCAGCATGCAGCCAGCTCTGGGGCAGAGCACAGGCCCAGTGTAACAGCACATCACCCTCCCACGGGCAGCGAGGGCAAGAACTACATCCAAGGGCAGCTGCAGGGGTGGTGAAGCAGTGGCTGCAGGAGGCCGTTCATGACCCAAGGACTCAGGATCTCCCCTCAAAAGCCACAGCCCGGGACCCTCAGCACCACACATGGGTATTAGAGCTAACTCAGGGAGAACGCCAGCAGCTGGAGCAGCAGCGCAGGTCCCTGCTTGCCTGGGCGAGAGCTGGCACAGGCCAGGCAGCTGGCAGAGGGCTCTGTCTAGGGCAATCTGCCAGTGGAATGAGCCCATTAGTGACCCCTGGGTAACTCCGGGAGCAGCAGTGCCCCAGGGCGCGCTGCCAGCCGAATGAGGAAGGTCTGACGCTGGCACATTCCATGCAGCTCAGCCCTGAATCAGTGCAGCAGCGTGATGCCTGCAGAAGCGAGGGCCTCAGAGGCCAAGCCAGAGCCAGCCATGGTACAGCTCTGCCAGTGCCCCTCAACCCTGACCTGCAGCCCCCCTGCAGTCCCAGTCCTGGCACCCCTAGGACACACACAAACCCTGGCATCAGCAGCTCTGCCCTCCTCTCCCACTCTGCTTTACCCGGCAGCGCTGGACTTCGGCAGAGCCTGGCGCTGGCTCAGAGCCACCTCAAAGCCAGGCAGGTCCCTGGGGCTGCCCCGTCCGTGCGTTTGGGAAGACGTGGCCTCCACAATGCACAGCGGGGCCCCCCAGGCTCCCTCCCACTGCAGAGCCTGCCCTGGCAGGGACCGGGGCGCGTGGGGCTGCTGCATCCCTGACAAGTCTGTCAGCGGCTGTCGGCCTCCCTTTCCCCTGGGGCAGGCCTCAAGCAGCAATCGCCATTGCTACCCAGCCCCTCCCCCTCCAGTGCTTTCATGGAGCCTGCCAAGGTCGAGATATTGGGGGATCACATGGTTTGGCAGCCACATGCAGCCACCTCTGGGGTGCAGCCCTGGCGGGGCAAAGCAGCACCGCACTAGGGATGCGAAGGTTTAACCGGTTAACCTGTTAACGGCTAAGCGCTTACCGGGGGCGATCGCCATTGCTACCCAGCCCCTCCCCCTCCAGTGCTTTCATGGAGCCTGCCAAGGTCGAGATATTGGGGGATCACATGGTTTGGCAGCCACATGCAGCCACCTCTGGGGTGCAGCCCTGGCGGGGCAAAGCAGCACCGCACTAGGGATGCGAAGGTTTAACCGGTTAACCTGTTAACGGCTAAGCGCTTACCGGGGGCGCGTGGGCAGGCGGGGGATGTTTCAGCTCAGGTGTTAGCGCCAGCACGTCTGAGTGGCTCCGCCAGGCTGCCCGCGCCTACCAAGGCGGCTCCCTATGAGCAGCAGCTATTTAAGGCCCCCGAGGACTAATCCTCTATCAAGAGCTCGTGTGAAACATCCTGGGAAGGAGCCGCGCATGGTGCCCTTGAGATCCTGCCCTTCCCTGCACCCTCATCCTCCTAGCGACAGCCCCATGGGGAGGGAGGGGGTGCCGGCGAGGGAACAGGAAGGGGGAGGCTGTGCTGGGGGAAAGGCTGGGGGAGGGGAAAATGGAGGCCTCACTCTCACTGTAGTTTATGACACGTGCTTGGGGCTCTGCTGATGCCCAGACGGCTCTCTAGGAATAGTCAATGCTCCTGTACCAGCCCCCTGCTCAGCCCCTGCTGCCCAAACCCCACCTCATAGCAGGATCTCCCTCCCATCCAAGCACCTGGCACTCCCCACTTACTCTGGGAAGGACAGGGGGTGCCCCCCCGGCTGAGCCCCTCTGCTCTGGGACAGAGTAGCCTCCCCGCAACCCACTTCCAGGCAGGGGTACCTGCAAGCTAGTGTCACCCCGTGAATTTGCTGACCAGGCGCATCCCTGCCCTGCGCTCAGCGTCTGCAGCCCCACAGCCCCCAGGGTGATCAGCTCCATGCAGAACTGGGCTCCGCTCCCTGCTGGAGACTAGGGGGTGAGGTGAACCCATTCTCACCCCTCGGCTGCCAGCACTGGAGGCTCTTTGCAGTGTTACGCTCATGCAGTGTGCTCCAAATCCCTGATTGCCCCAGAGAAGGGCAGAGTCAATCGAGGACACAGCAGCCAGCAAATCCCCGGGACCCATCTGCACAGGCAGATTACAGGCCGCCCAGGCACAAGAGTTAAAGGGCCCGGGAGCTGCTGGGGGTGAGATTTAATGGGGAAAAGCGACAGGTGGAGGATCAGAGGGGTCACAGGCTGCCAACAGGCCGAGTGCTGGGCCGCCCCGGAGCTGCTGGGCAGAGATTTACAGGGAAACAGTGTGTTTGTGCATGCCCATAAGTGTGAGTACACGCCCATGAGTCAGTGTCTGTGTACTCCCAAGTGTGTGCGCGCACGTTGCACGATGCCACACCTTGGCTCGCAGGCCTCCTTTACCTTCACCCCACATAAACCGTGCTGCATGCACCGTCTCCTTCCCCGGATGTGTGCAGAACAGCCCACCCCAGCATCTCAATCTTAGCAGGACGCTTCCCCCTCCCCTCAGCACAGGGCTTTGCTGTGTACTTCTGCCCTCTGTCCTTGGCATTTGCAACAGCAGCCCGGCCAGGCCAGGCCAGCTGGGCAGCTGCTGCACCGATTTCTCAGCGGGCAGGTTCCAGCACTTACCATCTGATGGTGATGGCTGTAGGGGATGTTTGTTTCTTGGAAAAAAGCGCTGAGCGCAGTCTGCAAGAAGGAAGGAAGAGATTTACCATTCGGCCAGGAACGAGGCACGCTCGCCCACCCAGCCCACTCGCGCATCAGCCTAGGGCTCGGACTAGCTCCTGCAGGGCTCCAGGATTGGGATCCCAGGGCCCAGCTCTGCCCCGGGCTCAGCACAAGTAGCTCTCGCCTGTCAGCACCCTGCTTGCTGATGGTGGGTGGGGCTCGCAGAGCGGACAGGGCTGCGGAGAAGAGGCCCGCCTGTGTGTGCATGGAAGCAAAATAATCGCACCCCCCCGCTTGCTCCCAAACCCTGGATCCTGCGTGACTTCCATGCAATCATAGCCCAGCAGCTAGCTTGAAAGAGCCCCTTTGGGCTCTGGCCTCCATGCCAAGCAAACAGAAGCCTGGCTCCCTTGGGCAGCTCCCAAACCCCCTTTCCTTGGCTCTTCCCCCCCCCCCCCCCCCCCACCCCCAACACACTTCTGGAGAGCGAACCGGGTTTGCCTTTTAGTTTCACAGACAGATGCTACACATATGGACACTACTTCACCCCGGGGGAAATGTGCTTATTCCTGGGGTGGAGCCCAGCAGGCGTTTCACTCCATCAGACAGCTGTTTGCACAGGAAGTACAGAAGAATACCAGCTCCATCTGGGGCTGTAGGTAGTGAGATGTAATGACCCAAGCCTGAATTCGGCAAGGAGACCAGGGCCAGCACTCCTATGCTCATAGAAAGAGCCAGGGATCCACAATGGCCGCAAGGAGCTTGCCCAATAAAAGGTATTACCTCCCCCCCAAAAGAGATGCGCCCTTCCATTGATTCTCCAGCCGCCCTGCGAGCACGGAGGTCTCTCATTGAACTACTGGCCCAGTTTAGCTTGCAGGATCGGAAGGGCTTGGCGTACAGGGAGCTGTGGCTGGCTGCATATCCCAGCACAACTCCCAGCCAGCTGACATGCTGAGGAAGGTCCTAGCCCTTTGGGGGACTCCGGTGAATTAAGCAATCGGACAAGAGGTTGTGTTGGATGGAGTAACAGCTCCAGGTTAGTCAGTGGTTTAGAGAGAGAGGAGAGGAGAGGAGAGGAGAATCAGGCCTACGGTGTTTTCCTGCATGTTCCCTGCGCAGCCTCTTTCCGTCACATTAACTGACTTCGCTAGCAAGTTTTGCAACACTCGCAGCACACTACAACACTCGCAGCACACTACAACACTCGCAGCACACTACAACACTCGCAGCACACTACAGCCTCCGACATCAGCCTGGTAGGAAGCAGTTCAAACACTTCCAAAATGCAGCCACTTGTGGGGTGAACCACAGCAGCTGTTAACAGACCAGTCCATGAAAGGAAGCTCGCCCATACCGTGGGGACCCCAAACAGAGCAGTCTGGCCCTTCTCCACACTCGCCCACTGTGGTCTATTTGCAGTGTGATGGCAGGTCAGTGAAGGGAGGCGGGAACGGGAACCCCCCTGGAGCTGCCAAATCGGGCCCAAAGTGGGCAGCAAGGACCCCGCTTTGCCGGTACTGCAATCACAGGGCCAGGTGAAGAGTGCCTGGCGCTAGCTCCAGCACCTCCCCTCACCCCGAGGGGTTGGTACCCCCGCCCTGAAAGCACACAGCTGCCATTTCACCCACTGACTCCTCCCCTCGCTCTCAGACTGTATCCGCACGGTGATTACAAGGCAGACAAGCCTTAAAACCAGGGCTGTGGCCCTGGCCCCAGCAACTGCAGCTTAGCCGTTGAGGGAAGTCACCTGAGGTGGGTGGATGCTGAGGTGGGGCTGGTTTTAGGGGTGCAGGCTGCCAGCCACTTCCTGGGTCCAGGCACTTAGTGTGCGCGTTCCGCTGAATGGTAACAAAACTCCTGGAGGGAAGGCGATTATCCCAATGGAGACCAGGGCCGTTAAGGGGGTTTAGTTAAGGGCCAGCACCGTCCACCAGCTGAACCTGTGAGGCGTTTGGGTGTAAAGGGAGCGTTTTTAAATGCAAAACCTTGTCAACTGCAGCAGACTTCCTGGGTCCAGGCACTTAGTGTGCGCGTTCCGCTGAATGGTAACAAAACTCCTGGAGGGAAGGCGATTATCCCAATGGAGACCAGGGCCGTTAAGGGGGTTTAGTTAAGGGCCAGCACCGTCCACCAGCTGAACCTGTGAGGCGTTTGGGTGTAAAGGGAGCGTTTTTAAATGCAAAACCTTGTCAACTGCAGCAGGTGGAACGCTGTTGATTTGGGAGAAATTGGAAAGGGGAACAACGGGGGG